CCAGTCAACTTGCCCGGTGCCCAGTCCCTTAAGAAACCCCTGCTCCATCAGAACATACTTCACTGTACCTTTGATACTGTTCACTACCTTTGTAATCTAATGTAAGATTTTCCCTCGCCCAAGAAGTCCCGTATACATAGTACCCACATGGCAAAGGGATGGTGTGGTCAGACAGTTCTGGCTTGCCACAGGGTGGCAAAGAGCTTATCATCATTGTCGATATGATGGGGAAAAAAGTTGCACATCATTCCACACATTATAACTTGCAGGTAACATAATTCACAAATACACCAAATCTATACTAAACCTCTAAAGTCCACAAAACTTACCAACTTACATTTCCTGAGCTTTCAAGTTCATGCCTACAAAATACAATACAAGCAACAATTTTATTTTCAATGAAAATTAGAGGAACCACTTGGAGCACATGGTTTCTTTTAATCAAACCAGTCAGACATCCAAGGAATTAAAACCATCAGCAAGATGCAATTATCTTTCTGGTGGAAACTGCGAACATGGCTTATGATCATCACACTGGTTTTGATGTACATGTGTGAATCTATATTGTTGTACCACCTAGAACACCTCATTTACAGTTTTTTATTAAACACGGAAACTAATTTATCTCAAAAATGGGCAATGTTAAAGAGGGTCTCTTACAGTTCACCGAGAAGCACTCCTTAAAGTGGTACTGTGACGAAAATTGCATCTTTCCTATCGCAGCAATTTTAAAACATAAACAAGTAGCCTTTGCGAGAAGAAAAATGCTGTTTACTACATTCAAATGTCTTTTTTCATTCCAGAAATATTCAAGTTTTTAAAATATCCAAATTAGCCCAGTCATGATGTCATACACTTAACCAAATTTTGATCAAATATGATGAAAAAAATATATCTCAGCCAATTTGTATCAGAAATGTTTGATTCTTTACAGTAAGATTCTACTAAATGTGCTCCACAATATGAGCTTAACAGTTTGGTTAACATGGCAATATATTGGCCTCCCCAATATTAAAGGCCTTTCTGGCCACCTTTGGTGTTCCATTTTGATATTTGCAAATTGCACCTCATATGCATGATCCAGCAAGCATATAAATGTGTTAGCTCAAGTTTGTGGCCTAGCATATTGAAATCAAGCGGGTAGGGACCGGAAAAGAGTGAGTTGCCATGGGAACAGAATATTTTATAGCAGTAGGTGTGTATCCTGTAGAACTATTAGCCTACGAAGTTTCAATGGTCTGCCCTGCAAATTGACCAAGATAGCTCCATTTATATACTTCATATAAAATTGGGTTGAGTGCATAACGTCATCTCTCATCTCATTTGCATATTTTACACATTTTTCAAACTTAATATCTCCAAAACTAATGCAGATAATTGCAAATCGTAAACGACGTTTTTATTCTTTCATGGAATTCTATGTGATACACCTGAAAAATCAAGGGGGAAAAATTTGATCATAGTACCACTTTAACTTTCACCACAAAATTAATTCTACAGTCAAAACTGCTCAAGTTCATCAAGTGAAGCCAAATAAACACAAGGGACTGGATGTTCTAACTTTTGACAAGAAATTATGTTTCAGTCAAAACCAATCAAGCATTTGGTCAGGTGAAGTTAGTCCAGTCAACATTTGAGGTTTGAATGAACATACAACTAAATGTACAAGAAATCAAATTTTAAAATTTTGTTTCAGGGAGAAAACCCAATTAATCAATTTGACTTCCAAAGCTCATTGCCTCACTTTACTGTATCTGCATTGTCAATTTGTTGGTTTGTTTAGAGTGAACTTACCAGCTATTTTGCTTCTTTTGAATAGCCTTTTGCCCACATGCATACATCTAAATCAAACAGACATCTTGTAAGTAATTTAGCTTTAGTTCTAACTGAAACAACTGGCAACTCTCAGAGCCAACCAGTCAGACATCCAAGGAAATGAAGCCAACATTAAGATGTAATTATCTTTCTGGTGGAAACTGCGAATATGGCAATTTATCATCATTCTGGTCACAAAGTCACACCTGGTATTTTCATCAATAGTTGCAACACAGAGGGAACTTACCAGAACCCATCTTGGTTGAAGTTAATTTCTTAGCTTTTCCTCAACAATCAATGCACATTGTGTGTCTGAAATCAACAAATCACTGTCAATAAATCTCAGAGGACTTCATTGTTAGAGTAAAAGTTTTATACATATAGTTAACCAGTCAGACATCCAAGGAAATTAAGCCAACATTAAGACGCAATTATCTTTCTGGTGGAAACTGCGAATATGGCAATTTATCATCACACTGGTCAAGTAAACATGTTAACAGGACAGTAAAAACTTTCATGCTCACCTCACTGTGCATTCTTCAGTAACCCTTGAAGCTCTGTCTGTAGTACAGCTAGAATGTAAAAAGAAATATTTGTATATGGTAACTCAATTTTTATACCTAGCTTAAATAACCTGGTGTTCAACCCACAGTTCAGCTAAATTTATCCCCTTATAATTGTGAAGATCTTTAAACTGCATGGCAATGCTAGTGGGGCTATAACTTACTTCTAACTAGCTTTAAAGGTGTTCAATTTTTTCAGTTGTAGGGCTTAAAACCACAGCACTGAAGCATGAATTTATTATTCTCCACCCTTTATATTTAATCTTAATTCTGCACAGTACTAACAAGTTTTAGGTTTAGTTTAGTGAAAGAAACGGAGAAAAAACTTCTGCTCTGACAGCATGTAAAGACTTGTGTTTAGAAAGTTTGGTTTCTTCAGTTGAATTCTTTGATTTGTTTTGAATTGCTCACTTTTACTTAAGAATGAAGTTTGTTTAATTGCCAAAAACTGACTTCTTAAGTTCTTTATTTGATCTTTCATGCTATAATTCAGATATCTGGATCCTTTAAGATATCAGGTCCGTTGGGCTGTCCTCATTGTGGGTCTGGAAATTTAAGGGGGTGGATAGGAAGAGTTACAGGAACAATGCAAAGTTCATAAGCTTCAACACCTAGAGACATCCTAAAAAAATCCCTTACTTCAAACTAACTTGAGCTGACACTAGTGAATACAAAGAACAAAAACTCTGGTTTGGTTGCCATTGTGGAGAAGTGGCCATTAAAGAGAGGTTAAAATAAGAGTGAATGTGTGGTCCAACTGTCAGCTGGGACAATAAGAAGTGGCCCTGGTTGTGAGGTGGCCGTTAGTGGAGGTTCTACTGTGTAAGGAAAACATAAAACCCAATAACCTGATGCAGTCAGAGAGGTTTGGCTTGGTCACATAGTGACGGAAGGGTTATCTTCATTGTCGATAAGATGGGGAAAAAAGTTTCACTCATCACCCTGCATCATTTCTGTTCCTACTACTTTCAGATAAAACTTGTAATCTGAAGAAACTTACCCAAGGCACAGAAGTTGCTGAACTGCATTTGTTGTATAATTTTAAAGGGTATCTGTAAGAGATTTCCATCTGTTAAATACAGTGATTTCAAGCAGCAAGAAACAAGAAGCTTAAAATGGAGAGAATCAGCCTGACGTGTCATCTCAGCATCTTTGATAAGACAGGGATAACTGAAAGTTTCTCATCACAACTCTCCATTTTGAAAAACAATTTTCATTAACATGATAGAAAGGGAATCATTACTGATGTTGTGCCTCTGGCAGGGCCTGAATAGAGGCCAACAGCTTACCTGCAAAGCAGAACATTACATGCATGTGTTTGCAGCTATTTAGTTTTGAAAAACTTTCACCTTCAAACACCATTCATCACTTTCACACTAAGTAAAAATCTAGGGTTGAGCCTATCTTGCGGTTGCTTGTGAGACTCTTACTAGGGACAAACCAAAAGATGAGTTCTAAGTTAAGCTGTCCCCAGTAACCGTTCCACAAGGGACTGCAAGATGAGATTTTCCCCAGATATCTTCTCATTTCTGAAGTGGTAGGCCCTAGTCACAAAATTAAATCTTAGTTACATCACTAGTGTCAAAGAGACTTATATTAACATTGGCAGTTAAGTAAAACACTTTTGTACAAAAAAAAACTTGTGTCTGTCTATCCAGTAAATGTACCTTTCTTAGATGTAACTCAACACCTTATAGTGTCAGAGTTAACAAGCTACATGTAATTTCTTAAACCAAATATTTGGCACTTACCATTGTCAGACAGAAGAGGAAGCAGTTTTCAAATGCATCTCACTGAAATAGTAGGACAACAAAGTGAATTTTTTAAACAAGACAAGATGAAGAATTGGTCTAACATATGCTGCAAGCTACCTCAGAAGAAAAATGCGTTCAGCGTGCAACAATCATAATTGTGCACTCATACAAGAGGTGTCAGAAAGAAGCTTTCATCATATGTAACTTGTCCTAATGTGAATTTAAGCAAGACACTTTCTCTTTCTCGAAAGTACTTTCTCACCTGCTCTAATGTACCTCATCCAACGGACCTGAAAGCAAAGCAACAGAACAGATTTTTAGTTCTTCTACTGACCTTATATTCCCATAAAAGATACAAGATAAATAAGTGACAGAATCAGAACATCAAAATTTTCTTCAAGACCATGTCATTCAGAGACTCTAGTCTAAGATCTCATCATACCATCACTCAATGCAAATTCTAAGGGACTGCTTGCACTCTGTGGGTACCATCAACTTTACTCTCACCAATCATTTCTACATTTGATAACACGTGGTCTACCTTTAGATAACACTTGCATATGTCATGCAAAGTGGTTCTAAATTTTAAGTTTGTAGATGAAACTTCCAAGTGTGAAACCATTCAAATAAAAGAAGCACCCCTTTTAGCAACCTAACTTGTATTGCAAGTCCAGATGAAGCCCCAGATTACGACATTTGCAATGCAAGGTATTAAGCTGTATTTTCACATGGCATTTTTGTAGATATTTTAATATCAGATATAGACCCTTTTCATAAATGGCTGCCAATTATAAATTCTTTTGTAAGTATTAAAATGAGCCTGACTAACCTTGTTGATAATTCAAAAGAATTTTTACTCCCAAATGAGTTTAGTGAGGCTAATTTAAATACTTACAAAAGAATTTTAAATTGGCAGCCATTTATGAAAAGGGTCTATCAAAAGTGGTAAAAAAAGATTGGGTGGATGCTCTCTCAAGTAGGGTTAACCTTCACTGGTGAACAAACAACCAGTGACTGCATCTTGTCTCAGTGTAGTTCCAGATATCCCACCCTTAAAAGATCTATTGTAACCTTTCCTTACCATTGGTAAGAGGTGAAAAAAACATCCCAGTGCCACTGATTTTTTTGTGGCCTTTAGAAGACCTCCACTACAAAATGCTGTCAATGAAAAAAAGAAATTGAGAGAGTAACATCAGTGCAATGCTTTCAAAGTCAGAACTTTTTCCCAAAAGAGAGACACATGAAACGCAGCCAGGCAAATTTACCAGAAAACCACTGTCTGATAATCAAGCACCAGCTTCAGACAAATGCCTCGATTCGACATCATAGTTCACAAAGAAGCTACACAAAACGTGATGCTTCAAAGATTAATCAGGCTCGTCATCTTGTGTCATCACCAGCTGGAACGCCGAGAACGACTGGCTTTGATATTAATTTTCTTCTAAACCCCTAAACTCACTCGCATAGCGATCGATCGATCTTGCCGCCGTTTTGAACACAAATTTTAAGCTTAATTCGATTACTGTACTCGCTACTTTCAATCGAGATTGCAGATTATGACCGAAGCCGAAATATTTTACCTTCTCTTTCATCATTTAGATGTTCCAGTACCTTTAAATAAGACTTTTGACCTCTCATGGCCGTTTCGAACGCAAATTAAAGCGAACACGTGGTACGAAGTATTCATCCACAATGAGTCTTACAAACCAATTTCATTATGAACAACCATCGACCTAAGATTAAGCAACGTCTAAAGACTTCAGAACGTGATCCAGTATCTGTAGTAGTTGCTACTGAACCAATCTAAGCTTGAAATAACGACTTACCACAGCATAAACCTCCGACAACGTCCGCCATCTTTCGTACCTCGTGCAAACTGGCTTGTGGCAATGATTTTATAGTAACTAGCACGTGATCAAAATGCAATACGACGATTGGTTCTCATCTGTGTGACGGCGAGTGACGACGAGTTTCGTTACTGACTTGCGCACTCTTGCACCTCGTTCCCAGGATCCTAAACGACTTTATTTTCTGAGTGTAACACTTGACACACCGTTCCTTGTTGTGCAAACTTGACGAAACGAGCGACTCTCGAGAGTTCCGTTACCGGCTCAATTTTAAGTAGTTTTAAGTTATATTAGCCACGATCTTTTGGATTACTGATGTCAAAATGGGTGCGCACTCAAGCACGCGCGAAAATCAGTTCCAGTAGCTCTCGCTCGCGTCGACTTGCCGCCGCCCATTCGACTAACCCAGGGGAAGTGAGGGCTATCTGCAAGTCTATCCATACGCTTCAGTGCTTCAGGATTAAGGATTCTAAAAGGTAATGTTCGGTTTTCATTGTGTCAGACGTCCCCTGTTGCTTTTGGACGACTGGCAAAAGCCGAGTCTATTTTTAGTATGTCTCGACACGAGAGGCAACACCCATTCACAGTATGGTCACGTGTCACATCCTGCTACATTGAGACCGGGTATCTCTGGGCTTATCGGGACTAAAAGTTCTTTTAGAGACGGTGGCATTTAATTAAAAAGGCGCCACGCGCTTGTTAAAATCTCTCGAAATTTTGATGCGACACACACAATTGCCCAAAGATGATTTACATTCAAACCAGTAGCATCAACAGCCATGCAAAACAAATGTCAGCGTCAGATTTCCCAATATTCGGAGTCAAGTAAATGAGTATAGCGCAAACCTCGTAGGATAATTAAGTGCCGGTTTGTATTGTTACAAGCCCTTGAGCGAGTGTAACTTGGAAGAGTATTCAACATCACGAGCAGTGTAAATCCTTAATTGCCCGAGTTTTCATACGATTACTCAATTATTTTATGTCCGAGAAAATTACGAACTCTCGCGGTGCAGTGCAAATTAAAAATCATCGATTAATTGGCCTGCTCTCAGCCAGTCATAATGAAGTAACTTTCTCAGTCATATAATAAGTATGGGTTGATTACATTTCAATATCGTATGTGAAAAATTACCCTTACAATAGTGGGCTTTCGACTTGTTTATTCCATTGAGAAATTTTACGCCAAACAACATGGCAATTTTGTAATTTCATATGTGAAATTATAAATTAACGCTGAAATGTCGCGACAAAATTAACGTGAAATTTGTCGCTCACGATATTAAGGGCTTAACTGAGGGCCGCGTTGTTGTTCAGTGGTACGGTGCTTATTCGAGGACAACGTTTTTTTTTTTTTTCGAATAAATACTTGCGTCTTCCTCGAGCGCGCGAGAGAGGTACACGCGAAAAGAGAACATCTAGAGACTGCGCATGCCCTATCATTGTCTGTCCGAGCATCATTTCAATCATTATTTCTTTAGCCCAGCGCAGTTTGCGCAAACAATTCAATTCAAGAGCAAGACACAACGTCAAAGTTCTGGCCTTACATTCAAACGAAACCACGCTTTAATGTAGTCTTTATTAATTGAACAGTAACCCGATTTACAAAATATTTACGAGGATTCAAGTGAATACAAGAATGTCTGACTGATTTATCAATAATAATTACTAATAAATAAATAGCATCCATGTAAGGCTCTAGACATAAATTTTTGCACCAAAGTTGGCCTCTCTAAATGGAAAATACTAAAAACGTTCACATATAAATTTCTTTATATAGCAAAATGAGAAATTTTGAATCCATCATCTAGATATAAAACTGTCATTGACAAGAAATACTAACTATTTTCAGGTTCCTGGTATTTTAGATTTGCTGAAAATTATCTTTACTAGCAAAATAAATCTATTTCAGAGTATGTGAAGCACACTGGCCGCGATCATAAACGAGGGCATTTACCGAGGAAAACCCGCAAAACGCGACTTTAACGCGGCTGGTATCTTGATCTCTTGAAGTTGCCCAGCATCACATAAACTAGCTTCGGTATGAAAATGAAATCGAGGTGAGCGCAGCCAGTTTAGTGCAGTTCCTACGATATTTATGACACATTATGAAATGAATGACGTTTCGTTCTTCTTATAACCTTACTTTGGTCTATTGTACTTTTCCTAGTATTAACAATAGAAGAATATCTATCAAAGTGCCTCAGCTCTCACTAACAAACAAAACTTGAGAAATCCTGTTCACTGGTCTATGAATAACGGGAGAGCGTAAAGAGACCACTACCGCATTCCAGCAAGCAATGACGCCGATTCGAGGTCAGGGCGGCCACATATACAGTGAATGTTTGAAAATCTCTACAGACAATAGCACTAGAACGAGACTGAGGTTCGTACTGAAGTGGCTAGTTTTCGCAAGCTGCAACTTCAAAAGCATCAGCAAGGCAATCAATATGTTAAGTACGAACTGGTCATTCGATAAAAACATTAGCTCATAAACAAACAGATATCTGACATTTTTACCCTAGCGGCTGAAAAAAAGGGAAACCCCTTTGTTGGTGACTAATGGGCGGCGTTTGCCTCCACTTTAATGCCGAAATCTACCGTAAAACGTAATTACATTTTTAATTGAAAATATTACCTAAATCCTTCAAGAAAATAAATTAAATTTTTACATATATAAATGGCTGGCAACTCACTTTTCAAAGCAAAACAAAAACAGCTTTACAATCGTATTTTTAAATTAACATTGTTTCAAAAGCGAGCGATGCGTAATATTATCGTAATGTGTGCTTTTTCGTTGTTGCTGTTGCTATTTTAATTATTACCATTATTAATTTAGCATTTTAAACATCTTAATAATAGGATCCGTTTAATTTCCTTTCTCCAATCAAAATTTGAGACGTTTGGCAAAGAGTTGACGTCAAAAGTATTGTGGAAATCCTTCCAGCGTGAAGCACACGTCGCCTCGACTCCATCACAACCCTATCAGCTTCTATCCCAACCTACACTAAGGTAAATGTTTATAATTTTTTGGCCGACACCCTTATGGGGTTCTGTTATTAGTCAAATCAAAGCCTACAAACATGAACCGATCAATTCTCGCTAAATTCGCCGTTCAAAATTTTCGAGCAGTGCCCACTTTTTCATTTTCCCGTCGCGAAACCTTACTTTGACACGTGGGAAGAACATGCATATCGCCCAATAACGACACATTTGTACCACGTGACTAGTTACAATGGACGAATCAAATGGCGCGAAAACAAATCAATGGAAGGAAAAAATGAAAATCTAGTACGATACCTCTAAGTATAGAAAAACTCGTCATGTTTGTTTTGCCATGAAGTCATGATTGTTCTGCCAAAGCATACTTCAGGTATATATAATGATGTAAAAAACAAAACAAAAATGATAAAAAATCGAAAACCTCCATCGTGCGGTGTTCGCAAAAACTTCACAGTAGTACCGATGAATCCACGATCTCTACCTTTCAGTCGGAAAACAACACGAGCATTCTCCGAACGTCCCTCACCTTAGCAAAATACCACCGACTCTAAAATTTGCGGGGAATGAAGACCACTTAAATTTTGCACTACGAACGCACAACCCATCGATGGTTTTACTTCTACTTTAGGTAAAAAATACTTTACATACAATGATGGAGTCATACAAAATTCCATCTGTTCTCGTTATTTTTCCTAACGACCGAAACTTGCGATTATGCTTCAACTGCGGAAGATGAAACTTTGTTAACCTTGACAGACTTTTTTCACGACAAGTAACCAAGTTGTTTCAGCGTGTTATTCTAAAACGCTATTCTGTAAGGAAACTTTAAACACTCGTAAACTTCCGTAAATTTCAAAATGTAAGTTTTCAATTCACGGCTGAGATAATCTTCACCGTGCATCTACATACACATATGAACACTGCATGCGATCAACAACTAGAATCTCCTTAAAACAGCAATACGAAATCAGACTAGTAAATTACGATAATAAAGGCGTTGATCAGCAATGGAAAATTTTCTTGATCTAAAATATGTCCTAACCAGTAACTGTACGAAATGTATGGAACCAATATTGATAAAACGCTGAACATACCTACCTACAATCGTTTCTTTCCAGCAAAAATTGCGCAAGTAAGCAAGTAACTATCTTTTTCTACGTTTATCAGGGGGTTCACTACCGTCTCTTTCAATGCCAGGTCTCAACTTTCTAAGTTCCCTTTCAAGTTCGGTAATACGAGGAGACAAACTATTTCTGACCTCTCGCAACTGGTCTTCTTTCGCGCGAACTTCTTCCGCCTCTTTCTCGTGTTTTTCGAACGTTAACTGCAATCTGTCCAAAGCTTCGCACCTCTCTTTCAGTTCGCGATAACGCACCTTTTCGCGAGCCGGTAACGCTCCGAACGCGAACCGCAAATCTTCCATTCTTGGTGGGCAGCGCTTCTTGGGATCCATCAACCCGTCAGAGGCGATCATGTTCCCATCACGTGTCAAAATCGTGGGACAAGACTGCTTCATTCGGGTGAGGTGCTCGCGATACGTCTGTCCAGACTTCAGATCTTTGACCACGATCGTCTTCGATAGAAGATTCCAAAAAAGGCTGCTGCGAAGGTAGCCATTGTCACTCGTAAACTCGAGCAGATTCACAGCGAATTCAATAGGGCTTCGGTAATTTGAAGGAGGCGCAGGGAGCTCTAAAGGCAGAGGTTTGCCATCGCTTCCATCAAAGTCCCTTTTCGAAAAGGGAAGTAAAGTCGCTTCGCAGTAAGCCGAGCATCCTGCGTCGTAAACCTTTCGTTGCTGTTCTGTGGTGGTAGTGAGCGCTACTGGCATTTTCGACTGAAGATACCACGAGAGGATGCGAGCAACTAATGGGTCGGAGACGTACGCGAGTTCTGCTACAATACCTGAAGAAGAAAAAAAGAAAGAAAAATATTTCTTCGTCGTTTCCACACAATTTCTGGAAATAAAACAACACTTGTTGCTATAACGAATGACCAATGCTAATAACCAAGAAGAAAAACAACATCAACTGTCAAACCTAAGTTTACAATTTCCCGCCAAAACAGCAAGACAATTTTCTTTCTTACCTTCACGCCCACAAAATCAATCCAACATTTATGTGATGAGAACAAGCAAATCAGTAGCTGCTGAATTTTTTCAGAGATAACACTCCACCAAATCATGGTTATCAGTAACGAGAACTTATATCTCAGTTTTCCAGCTTTGGGGCATATTTCAAGCCGGGTGATTTGGAGTCAAGACACGTTTGAATTCACTAGTAGACTTTTGATTCATCTCGTTTAACCGTAATTGGGAGGACACTAACTTCGCGATGCTCTCGAAAGTTATGACATGAGTTTATTTGCCGCATGAATATCAAAATGCGAGATGTCCATAATATGTTATTTACCTATGAAACTCGGAGAGCTCTGATGAACTCGCTAAAGTGTTCGTAAATTGACATCGAAGGAATACAAGAACCAACAACAAATTCGATCCATTTATGACGTCGGGTGCAGGATTCGACCCGGACCACACTGATGGGAGACGGGCGCTCTAATCATACACTGAACCACCCCCCTCCCCACCACCCTGCTCCGCAACACTGACTTATTAAACCAAATGCAACAGTAAACACACCCTTTATGTAGTGTCGTATCCTAGCAGGAGGGTGGCCCGGTTGTGTGATGACTGTTCGAGTAGTGGCCTGACTAGATTCCAACTGATTCAGTTCGTTTCTACTGGTCTGAAGTATATTCACTACGTCGGGTCTCCTCGGCATTCCTCGGAACGAGCTTCGGACAGGCGTGAGTGCCGTCGTCAACTCCGACTGGCACCGAGACAGTCTTCTTTTGGATTCTGCCACGTTCTGCTCGTAATCTGCAATCTGTTTTCTCAGCGGCTGTAGCTCATTCTGTATGCGCTGTATATGTTCATCTGGAACAGAATAGAATGTACCCTGATTCATGACCTCTAGATAGTTACGAAGTCAACCAGGCATGCATTGGGTGAAATGAGGAACAGTTTCTTGTGAAGTGGCTAAAAAATATAGCTCCTTAGTAATCAAGTGCAACGCCGGAGATCGTGGCGTTACAGACCAACTGTGACATACAACATCGGGAAGGGCGAATATTTCCCAGTATAGCATGGGGAAAAAAAGGTTGGCAATCTATACATATGTACGACAATTTTCAAAGATACTGCTTTAGAGAAGACTGGCTTCAAACAATCTATCCAGCTGTAATTCATTTTCCGAAGACCAACCGCAACATTTGAGACTTTTAGATCCAAGTTTCCCGCGAACGGTGAACCGCTAGGGGTCACCTGACCCGTACCAGACGTCACGTTTGAGGTTTTCGACCCGCGTTTTGAACGTCAAGAGGTGGGTTTTCAAGTAAGTCATTTACCGCTAGCTTTATTGCCTTGAATTTTTTTTCTTTGCCGCGTGCAAATGCCGAAATTGAATAAAGTAACGCTTTTTCAACTAATCGGTTATAATCCATAGGCGAATAAGCAATTTCCTAGCCTTTTGTTGTTGTTGTTGTTGTTGTTGTTGTTTTGTAGAAATGCACTGATCCTCAGTAAAATTCCAATATGGCGGCGGCTTTTAATTTTTTTTAAATCCAAATTGACCTAATTTTGACAATTTCCAATGCATTGACAGGATGATTTCCATTTGCTTCAATTTACTCCAATCTAAATCGACTAACGTCCGAACAGCGAAAAGCAAACGTCTAAGCTCAAACAGCAGTTAGACGTTTGCGGTAAACTTGGATTTGAAAGGTCTCTAGCACCGTACATCCGAAAACGCGTCCAATTCTTCTTATCCGAAGATTCCCAAAGCGACGATGAACTTCCACGCCGAGAAACCTCCGCCTATTTTCCGAACTGCAACTAACAACTTAGATTTTCTGAGAGGAATAGCGGTAAAATACAAAACCTCTTTTATCCACTAAAAAAAAAAAGAAGAAAAGGTAGCGATAGACTTACCTGTACTAAAAGCAAACTTAACGGAATATGCCTCGACATCGACGTCAGGAGCGGAAAATACTAACATATATTCCCCGATATAATTTCCAACGCGACTACAAAGAGTGAGCCTTGGTAGCCTTGCCATACCACGGTTGAGAGTGAGCTGGACCGGACTGTTCTCCAAAGCTGGAAGGACCGTGCCATCGGGCACAGTCCCTGAAGGTTGAATGGCCACGCTTGTTGTCAAGGAGACGTTCGCGACATTGCCGCAACTGTCTTCAGCTACGAGGTCCACAACCTCTACGCCGCTAAAAAATAATAATAATAATAAAAGAAGAAAAAGTATTGAAAGTGTCACAGTTTTTCCGTTTTTGTTAGTTTGATTGTCTTATCCTTTTCCAAACGACTTCTTACCTCCTTCCAGGTCGCGGAAGAATGGTACGGCCCTTGAGGTCAGCAGTGCAAGACGCAGAGATCACGCCGGGTGAACCAGACTGAAAACGTAACACGAGTCGTTGAGGAGTACCTGGAAACGGGTACACAAAAATAAAACAAAAGCTTACCTTTTACGCTAATATACAACCAATTTTGCGACACATAAATATGTCTTCCAAGGAGGACAAAATGACATTACTTATGACACTACTACACACAGTTAATGTAAGACGCATGGATTTACCGGGATGCACCACGAACTGAACTGGAAGGCTCCTGGTCATGTGATCAGTCACGGGCAAGACAGACTTGAGCCTCTCCCTGTACTCGTTGTACTGACAAATGATGGACCACTGCCCCGCCTCCTCCAAGTAACGGTTCGCTATTGATTGAAAGGTGACGACGCCTTCACGGTTCTGAGTGGGTTTCCGGTAGATTGACGTGTTTACGGGTGTGCCATTTGGACGAGTTATTTCAAGGCTAAGATGTCCCATGGCATCGACTCGAACTCCATCTTCTGTTTGACATGTAACCTTCGTGAAAGTAGATGAGTATGCGAGTGAGTGACTAGTCCTTGCTGCCGAAAGCAAGAGATCAATAAACGCTATCGTGCTGTGACGATGGTTATTCAAGGGACATGATCACGGCGACTAGTTATTATACAAGGACAGAATGTTAAGTCTGCCAGTCTTTCTCAATTTGATATCACAACCTTGTGAACACCTAATCCATTATATCGCTATTATTACACTTGATTGTATAGTAATTTTTAACAAGACTATACAGATCTCTATAATCAGGTTTCAACCAATCAAAAGATGTCTTTTTGGCTTTCGAAGTTAGTGTTAAAAGCTACAACATTGTGATAAAAGTGTGTACCTTCAGTGTGGGATAACAACCTGTGGCCAGCAGGGCCTGGTCAGCGGATACCTCCACGACTACAGCTTTTACTCGGTTACTCTTTTCCAGAGTGGCTGTAACAGTAGCGGCCTGCAAGACAGTACAGACAAAAGCTCGCTCAACAAACTGAAAGACAAAATGGCATCTTAAGCAAACACATCACAGTTGAACCCCTATTAAGCGGCCACCTATTAAACGGCCACCCCTACTAGGCGGCCAGTAATCAAAGTTCCGATGAGGGCTTTTCTATTGCTTTTACCTCTATTAAACGGCCAACCCCTTTTAGGCGCCCACTATCCATTTCCCCGAGGGTGGCCGTTTAATAGGGGTTGAACTGTATACCTGTGTTTACCTGTAAATCAAATTTGAGGCCGCCACGTGCTCAAAATCTTTTCGATTTTTCTGGCGCTTTCTTCAGCGACAGAATCGAAACAAAAAAACGCTGGCAAAGCATTCCGGTCGGTAGAGAGTCTTTTTAAGTAAACAATTCTCCAGAAACTCACCGTTAAATTTTTGTGATCTGAACTGAACACCTTCAGTTTAACCTGCTGATCTCCACTGCGACTTCCGCATTTCATCGTGTTCGCTTCAAACACCGCCTCTCCTTTCTGAGCCCTCTTGGTCAGCAGTAACCCGCAGGAGGATGGGGTCCAGGACAGATTCAGCGTTGTTCTGAGTGGAGTCTTGTTCCCAGAGCTATCGCAAACAAACGCGTGGACCGGCGCGCTGAGAAAGCAGTTGGAGAAGAGCTTGGCTGTGTGCTCATGCTTCTGTGAGGGATCATCGAATGCTTGGCTTTTCAACTCAATGTGATGCGGAGCACCTGAGATCAGATAAAATACGATCATTTGACGAATAAAAAAGTCTCATTGAGCCATGATCGGAATCAACAAGTACAATGAGACATTGTAGTGAAACTCGATGTGAGAAAAATTGTTGCCTGCCTTATAAAAAGAACCATCATTGATCTTCGCAGACAGAACAGCAAAAACAGTGCGACCAAGAGTGGATAAAGGGGTAAGAAGGTTTTCCTAGGTCATGCAGCCTGAGTTATTTTCGGATCATTCCATGTTTCGGTAATCCCAGGCATGCCTAGAAACAGGCAATCCTGTGACGCAAATGTTACTCACGTGACAGCCCAAGCGACTTCACATGCACTTCCATCCTCCACGAAAACATCCACGCATCGCGCGTGCTAACATTATCCGCGGAAGGACTGGGTACCATGTCTAAAAATAACTCAAGGAGGATTATTTTGGGAATAAGGGCTGTATAGGGATTAACTGCCTTACCATTCATGCTCTCTTGGTTGGCCAAACCATTTAACGAGATCTTCTGAGGTGTTTATATACACGAAATGTTAATCACACCTTGTCAACACAAAGAAAACTCACTGACCGGGTTTTAGACTGATTTTCTGAGTGTCTCTGGAGAATTTCCCTTCCTTGTCAGACACACACATGGTTATGATGCCAGGGTTTCCGGAGATAGTCGCGTCGTTGTTGAACACGAATTCAGTTCCCTTCAAGGTTAAATGTCCAATGAAAACTGCCGTGCTGCTACTGCCGAGATTGAAGGAAAGAAGAAAAAGTTGATTTAAAATGTTATATACTAGAGTATGAAAGTAATAATCAAAACTACTGCAATTCATATAAAACCACTATTTAAAACTGTATCATTGGATAATGCAATTCAAGGGTTTTCATTGGCTTAGCCATCATGGTATATGAGCCATTACACCATGCTCTACAAACATGGTAAGCGTTCGCGCAACTTTTGGGGAATTTTCATTTTCATTTTCATTTTTTTTTTCATATTTTGGGGGCGTTGTTAATGCAACATTTATTTCACCCGCGCTCGTTGGATATGAGATGATTATAACCAACTCGGAGCTACTCGCCTCATGAGTTTTCTATTATCATATCCAACGCGTACTCTTGGAATAATTGTTAACTGCACCACAAAGTTTGGTCTGTATCTTTCTACAGTGTCATTAGCCACAGTGATTACCTTGGTTGTTCTGGTTTTGCACCAAGCAATTAAATACTGTGGAATAGTCACATACTGTGGGAAAAATCTGGAAGTGTTATTCTACCAAGCCTACGGTGTTTAGATGCCAAAATGCCCATCACAATACAGCCCATACATTTAAAATGTTATTACCTGTATCAGTATGTTAAAATAAAAACCAAAAGCAAACCTGTACAGAAAAGTGTCAAAGCTATCGAAGATCCCCGCCCACTGTTCCTACAGTTTTTAACGTAGCAACTTATGCGCCAGAAATACGATTTAACAAAATTTGATAATGGCTTACCTCTTGGATGGCGAATGTTCAACTGTTACGACAGGCTCCACACCCGCGGGACACTCTGCGGGATTTCCTAGCTTGTCCCGTAATTGTACTCTAAGCTTTTGGCTCAGTTGTTTCTTGCTGTCACATTCGATTTCCACAGAAGCCGTTTCACTAGAAAAGAGCCACTTCTGAGGTTCACCTGATGATGAAATAAGACAGCACAGGTTCTACCACAAGGAAAATCTACTTCAAGAAATACATCAAACACGAAAGACCGAATTTGATCAGATTTTCAAACAGCGAGAAAAACGTTGAAACTTCGAGGTGTTTGGTAATGTGTGATCAAACAGTGTCTTGAGTATTTAATAAATCTTCTCAATCGAAACTAAAACTAAGGAGAAAACGGAGAAATAGAATCGTAAACATCTATGCTGATTGAGATCAGAGATCCAAACACCGTCTCGGTCATGAAAGAATTATTAAAGAGTTTGAGAAGACTAATCAACAATTTACTAAACGCTTAAGAGTGTTTTGCTTTAACAACGCTCTTTTAACGACTCGAACAACTCGTAGAACACGCGTTCAATAGTCGGGCGCAATTTATCGGAACTCTTAAATTATATAACAGCAAAAATTATTCAATAGCGCCGCTCTCGACTAAACGTTGCAACTGTCAAACTTTAAAGAGCGCCGTGACACTCAATCGAGTAATTACGGTACCTGCAATGGGTTTAATTCTTATTTGGGATTGACACTTGACGTCACTACACACACACTCCACATTTCCCACAAAAGTGCTATTGGCGAGATTAGCCACAGGGCAGTCAGGCAGATACGGCAGACTTCTCACTGGAACCTTGGAAGAACAAAAAAAAAAATAACAATAATAATCAAAAGAGAAAAAACAGCGAAGTACTACGAGTTAACTTGTCGTCAGACCGTTACTATAACCAGCCAGAACAGAACTCTCTTTTATAGCACCTTGGTAGACAGAAATGAAGTAAAAACGCTAAAATAACTTCCTAATGGTTGCGAGACTTACAATTACTTAGAATTAATCACGGATTACACATCACATTTGCTTTACCTCTCCGCTCCAACTCGTGGTCACTTTAGGCTCGGCTGCCTTAAAGTCTTCGTCACCCAAAAACTTTCCGCTCTCGTCAAACACTTTCAAGAACAAGCCCTTAACGATGGAACCGGCAGGAGCCGTCAGCTCTAAACAATCTCTACCCTCCTTGGAATTCTTATCCACTCCATTCGCCGTCGTCATTTCGTTCTGGTTTCCTTCACAGATCATCACTTTATGCGGCAAAGTGCTGGGTAGAACTTTAATGGAGAACTGTTTTAACTCCTTCAAAGTTTCGCTTACGGTGAGTTTTCGCCGATTACTGTCCACGACCACAAGGGATATTTTAACCTTGACAGTGCAAGGCGCTTTGCCAGGAGCAAGTTTCACCTTCATCGGGGAAAATCTGCCTTGTCCGTGCTCTATGTTGGCGAGATGCGGCCCGGTGATAAATGCCTCGCATTCGGCGTGAAGCTTCGTTCTTTTGTCGCTCACAGAACATGGTTGACTCCACTGGTCCAGGACCTGAATCACGAACTCAGGGAATTCTTCGTAGTTAGGAACTTCGGTTGTTTCGAACTGGGGAAGTTTTACAGTTTGTGGTTGACCTGACAGCGACAAAAAAAAATTAGCACAACTGAGAAAATGCGATTTAACGTCCATGCAGGGCCTAGAATGTTATGAAAGAATCATTACTGCGACAGTTGCAGCTTCTTCACGTGAACTCACTTAAAATTTTCGCCATTCCGTTCTTCAGTCTGCCAGTAAACAATCAGAAATGGCCACGCACACATTGAATTTACCGTAACATTTGATAAATGAACAAAAAGGTAAACCAACTGGAGCGCAGGTTAAAGCTAACTTGCTCTGTACAGTTAATACCAAACAACAAACTATTCCCAGCGTTCTTAATAAGTCAAAAGCCTTGACGTTCAAGCAACAAAACAACTGAAGTCAATCTCCTTATCTTATTTTCTCAGACACATCTCAGTTCATAATCCTCAAATTAAGAGCTTCAGAACGCAGTAATCGCATCACCGGTAATCTTAAATCCCGACATTAAAGCATTTAAGGAGGAGGAACTCTTTTATGTCTAGCATTCTGAAAAAGAATAGCATAGCTCTTCTATGGCAAAGATAATAGCGATAGTCTCAGCTATTTTATTTAAACTGACAAACAATAGCTATGTCTGAAAACGATCCCAGCTATTTTTACAAAGACAGAAATAAACCCTTCCGTTGGGGGGGGGGGACTCCCATATAAAAAGGACAGGGGGTCCTCGTCATACCTTTTAGGAGTTAAAAAAGCGGTTTTGGTAGCTATTAGGGTGTACAACCTCTAAAGGTCCACAGCGGGAGCTGATACCTCTAAGGGGCGGAAAAAATTTCAAGCCACGCCCACAAAACGGGATCTTCGTACCTCTTAGGAGTTCTTGTCAACATTTCCGACGAGCACCCCGGTCCCTTTCATATCGGATAAATTTCCCCACGCCCCCC